TATGTGTTCATCCGTTCTTTCCTTCAAGCGTTTTTCGCTTCTACCAACTTCTTGCCTATTGCGGTTTATTTCTTCCCGCAGACTTTCTCTTTCAACGTGGACTGCTCTTTCTAGTTCACTCAATCTTATGGACATCTGTTCATTTTGTTCTCCTATTCTGCCCACTATGTTGTTCAAGGCTTGATCAATTGATGCTCCTTGTTCTTCTAGTGGCGTCACAAATGGCGGTGTCACCCTGTCGATCACGGGTAGCTTGGTACTGGTCGAGATTCGGGCTTTGATTCTCTGCCTCGACGTCTTTTCATTATCCACCTCTGGATCCGCCGATGCGTTGCTTAGCCCTATGTTTATATTCTCCTCAGTTCGCGTTTCCGAATTTGTCATACTCACAAAATCTCTTGACTGGCCAGATGTGTTTGTGTCTTTGCTTATCGTTCTCACCACACCAAACTTGTCCATGGTTCCAGTCTTTCTGTCGGTGTATGCCTCATTCTACTGGGTCGAACTATTGAGGCTGACTCGAGATCCAAAGTCAAGTGCTCCTCATCGTCCTCTTCTTCCTCCTGGGATTCACCTTCATCTCCTGTACCCACTCCCATGGTGAATGGAAAGATGTTTCCGAAAGTGTTCTTCACTCTTTCTGAAAACGATGAGGACGTTGCCTTGCCTGATTCTCCGTCACGCCTGCCATCATGGTGTTGTCTGAGGGAGATCTTCTACTTGCCACAATTTCAGTAGACATGTCGGATAGTTCCGACATCTCCTCTCGGTCCAGTGTCCCGGTGGAAGTGGCAAAATCTTGGCCTTGTTCTACCGGAGTAGATTCACTCGCCAGCCTTCTGTTTCCTCTCCCCTCTGGTCCATGTATTTCCCGGTTCTCATTCATGGCCTGGTCCGGATGCACCTCCACTTCTAGCATAGCTTTTCGCTCTTCTGAGGACTTTTGACTCCTGGTTTCAACCATTCTGCCTGAAACCGTCTCCCCTTTGTCGGTCCGGGTTCGTGTGATCCGTTCCACAAAGGGGTTGGTCATTGCTTTTCTTTGCTTGTCAGGTATGAATTTCCTGGAGCTATCACCTAGTTTAGGTATCCTTGACTTGTCTAGACTCATTTTCAATTTATCACTTCTTACTGCCTATACACTCAATTCGATTGCTAGTGTCCTTTTAGTTTGATTACTGATAATAATAACACAACACAATAAATTCCAAAAGTTTCTATTAAATAGTGGCCACGAATCCTTGTATGTTATCAAAGTACAGCGTATATACAATTTATTCCCACTAATCGATTATTAGTCGTAAGATTTGAGAACTAGCACAGTATGATGATATCAGTCAATTTAAAAGATAGTGTACTCACTACCCAATCAAGCACAAATTGTTGATTTAAAACCTGAAATAACAAAATAAGAATATTTTTATGAAAAACGTATGTGTTTTGTACTTTTAGTTAGTCGCAGTACAATAGTCGAACTTGTACATAAAGAAAGAGCTTTCCCTGCTTGGTGCTGCACCAAACAGACAAAACTTGAAGGTAGTAATCTTCTCAAGTGGGCGTCCATTGCACCCACCGAGTCTCCTGTTACCTATCTGCCTTCGGACTGCCCGAGCTAGACCTACTAAAATCCTCAGTGCAGTCACTTTTCTCAAAAACGTTTTGGATTTCAATCCAAACCAATGAGTTACATACTCTTTTTTAATTTAGAGTTAGTGTCGCGAATATCCGAGTTTGGACCTGTTTTGTTTTGGTCTGGTCTTTTTTGAAAGGCGAGTTACCAGTGCAGTCACTGGTTCCTAGCCTGTCTCTTAATAATCTAACACCCCTCACTATTATCTTTTCTTCTGTTTACTTAAGTCCTTTAACAAAAATAATACCCCTCCGGGTTGACAAAAAACAGTACCCCTCCGGATTGGCAAAAATAGTACCCCTCCGGATTGCCAAAATTGGTATCCCTCCGGATTGGCAAAGTTGAGTCCCCTCTGGATTGGGACCCCTCCGGTTTTGTGAAAACAAGACCCCTCCGGATTGGGACCCCTCCAAATTAGGAAAAGTTTGGACCCCTCCGGATTGGGACCCCTCCAGTTTTGTAAAAATAGCTTTTCGGAGACTTCCTTGATTTTCAACCTATACCCCTCCGGATACGTTCTCCGATGCTATTATGCCGTTTGTATCAACTAAGAAGGGTATGTGGTCCGTCCCCGGACCCTTCCGGATTGAAGTTAAGCCTCTTACTTGACAATTCACGCTAACGGTGAAGGGTCTTATCGCTAGCCTAATTTCTGCTCGATCAAGGTTTTCTGGTGCCTTTAGCCTTCCCTATTCTTCTAGAACAGCGTAAAATTGCCTTATTCAACCGTTTCTACCCTTTGGTAGGGGGTGTAAGGGCTTTCCAAATTTTTTTTTATAAAACGTGAGGGGTCTACCCTCCCGAATTGGTAAATTTTCTAAAAACAACCTCAAAAAGTTTTCACGCTTTTTCGAATAATTTTTGTTCTTATTAGTAAGCTCAGCTAATTTCTGATCTAATGGTACCAAGATCAACTGGATCTGTCAAGTCGTTCCAAAATTATTAACCAAAACGTCTTTTACATAATTTCAAAATTTTTCTCACTTATAGGTTCCGCCTAACTTTTTCCGCAATTCTGTTTTTTTTTCGACCTAAAAATTATTGATCCCAGCTCAAAAGGCCTATACTCTTCTAGTTCAATGCAAAAAATCCGATCTGAAACGCTTTAGTTGAAAAAATTTGCGAAAAACTATGCTATTCGGACCCCTCCAGATTGATGAATCCACTGAATCAAACACGTTAAGTTCGATTTCTCTGTAATCCGGAAGGCTTTCGGGAAACGGGTCTTAAAACCTGTAGATTCACTAGTGGACGTTGCCCGAACAACTATTTCTACTGTCCTAACTCAAACTCAACCAATTCTACCTATTATACTAGCACAGTTACGATGTAACTCACTAATTTAGCGCTTTTTTCCGTTTCAAAAAATATCGATATTTCAAAAATCGCGATTTGTGGGGGGATCAAAATATCGCTATTTTTACCCTAAAAACCGGTCCGCTTACTGTGTTTTTCAATGAAAAACGATATAGGAGTATTAATATAAGTAACAATTTAGTAATACTATACCCCTCCGCGTTTGTTCAATATCCGAATTAAGGTGCCTAACTCGGATTTTCGCAGTTCGGTGAAGGGTCACTACAGTGCAGCATTGTCGAGCCCCCCACAGATTACTATCTTACTTTTTGTACCAAAAGGGATACAAAACTTGTTAACGATACCCAACAGTCGACTGTTGTTGTCGTTGAGCCCCTTCTTGTCAATCCTTGTACTGCTTGCCGGATCAGTCTTCTTCAGTAATCCCGAGACCCTTCCGGATTGAGCGCAAATCAGCAGACCCTTCCGGATTGAGCGCAAATTAGCATTAACGTGCTTAAGTACTCCAATAACCCTACAGTACAAGCTTCACAAACGGGCCACAAAAATGATCGTAACGATCCTGATTGATATAAATGCCTGTAACAACAATATATCTATCAACAACAAACGGGAGGGTCGGATCGTATCTTGAATGGGGGATGATTTCTACTGAATTTTTACTATTTTACTGTTTTTGGTTTTTTCGGTTATTTTTTTATGTTTTTTTCGTTTTTCTTGGGTACTATACTACTTTTTGTTTGGTTTCTTGTATATCCTTAAGTGATTTTGGTCACAAAACTCTCAGGGACAGAGGGGACGGCCGATCCCCCCACCCTTTCTGGAACGTGAATTTTCGGTCATAACTAGGTTAAAAAGCTATTCACGGTAATCCGGAAGGCTTTTGGGTTCCAAACTAACCTTCCGCCCCGGCAGTTAGGGCCTATTAAGGGCGTTATTATGAGCATCAGCTCGGCGCGGAGTGCTCGTTAACGGTTCTGCCGGTCATGATGCTAAAAAAATAACACCCAGGAGCGCCATAAAAACATCTATGTAACATTCGCCCGGAAGTACATATCGACGGAAAATAAATCTAGGTTCTAAGACGACTGGCCAACGTCTAAACAGAGCTCTAGGTGTTTTCACCGTCTCTACCAAAGCCTGTTCTTTTGGTGGTCTTTTCAACATCGGGTCGACAAAAACGTTACTGTTCTCCGGCTTCGACCAGAACGCTCAAATTAACTTTTTGCATGCAAAATTAGTGAGCTCATGGCTGGGTCTCAGTATCCCCGGACCACGAGGTCACTCCTAAAAACAGGGCTACCACTACTTATTATATTACTATTGTTTTTGTTCAGTAGATAAAAATCATCATCTCCATCGAAGATGGATCAACCCTTTCCCCCAACTCCTAGCTTCTCATCTTCGTAAAATAAATTCAGATGTTAAATAAATTCAATTCAGGACATAATAGGGAAGCTAAAAGTCTCTCTAAAATGATATAAGTTCCAGTCCCGAGACCCCTCCGGATTCTTGAATCCGGAGAAATAACAACCTTATCTTCCTTCCGGAAGGCTGTTCTTCTACCCTTCACCGTTGTTGTGAACGGCCTTGCAACGATTGTAGCGACACAATCGTTGCAACTCGGAACGGTCTCTGCTAACTCTGCAATTCGTTGTTGTTTTTCTATCGCAATCCTCGTAGTTATCACTATCGCAACTATTGTTGTTCTGATTTTCTTCTGGTTTTCTTCCAAAATGGCGGTTTTTGCCGTTTCTCAGAAGTGCGACTTCTCAGTTCGAATTTTTAAAATTTCAAAATACCAGAATATCTTGACCTTCACCGTTTGACTAATCGTCCCGATAACGTCACTTATCTCTCAAAACTGTCAATTCGGAAGGTTAGCTGCTAACTATTCGAAATCGCCGAATCTGCATTTTTGTCCATTCTGGTCGAATGTCACACTACTACGATTGTCTGCCCTTTCATACAATAATTTGAGTCTTGTTTCATCTAATTCATTGAATTAAAAAGAAACCAAAAGTGTTTTTGGAGTTCATAATTTTTTATCGTTTTTGTTATCCGCTTTTTTAAGATCGATGGAAGAAGAAATTGCGTCGTCCGAGATACAACAATACGGTACTTTTCAATCTCAAAATGAACATGAAATGAGACATAGACATGTTATGTCGTTTTTGAACGGGTTTAAAGGAGAACCAAATGACTCTGGTTCTTCTTCGATGATGAACGACTACAGTAACCAGTCTGATGATAATGTTGACGAGACCGGTGAGATAAAAAGGCCTTTGCAGACAGCTTCAGAGAAGAAGCGACGAGATATGATCAAGACTGGATACGATAAACTTGCACAAATGTGCTTACGTGGTTGCGGTCAGCCCGAGAATACTTCCAAAATGAGCCATGCAAATATTTTGAATAGAGCTTCGAATTATATTGATTCGCTTGAAACTGATATCAAAAATCTGCGTGAAGAAAAAAGTCAAATAGAAAGGGAACTTATGGCAGCAGGGACAATGAAACATATTTGTTCTTCAGTCATCACTTCAAAGGGAGAAGCTCCAGGAGTTCGAACTGTATCTCAGGTTCAAGCATTTGCCGTGTTTCGCGATGTTATGGACAACCTTTATGAATCATTTCGGCAGTATGTCTGCATGGACAATTTTCCAAGGCTGGCAGAAACTCTTCTCAAGTGGGCCGAACTTTACTGCACTCCTAATTTCCTGCATCAGTTTGCCGAGAGTTCGCTAATGCGAATGAGAAATGCAGTTGCAAGCTTATTTAGAGCTCCAGTTACTTGTTGAAATAGCAATATGCACTGTTGATACTTCGTTTAATAGTTTAGTTAGTTCCGTTTTTTCTGACGTTGAAGATTCAAAAAAATGTAAGGAGGAACTTGCCTTCTTGGTTCAATTAGGTCAGATGGATCCCTGGAGAACTTTTCAAGAGAGTTTCTCAGACCTAAATGACCAGGCTGGTTTGCAATGACTTACGGGATGCTTAAATTGACATTACCCAATCTATCATTGAAACAAAATGAGGAACTGTTGTTGTAATTACAAAAGGGAACCTCAGTTTGATCTATTTTCATTGCATCAGTCTTAAAGTATGCGTTTGATGATACTTAGAAATCCGTCTCTTTACGTTATATCCCTTTGTTCTGAAAGCAATATCATGATTCAATTTGAAATTGAAATTAAATTATAGTTTTTGAAAGCAAATTCTTCAACATAGCTGACTTTTTATCATTGTTAGCAGGCAATATATTTTTTATCACTATGCGCTCAAAATTGACCTGTACCTACTTTTAACTGAATGCTAGCACTGCAAAAATTTTATATTTAGTTAATTCTTCCTCCCCCCCCCCCCCCCCCCCCGATTGCATTCGGGGATTCTCTTCAAGGCAAAGAATTCTCATATGCTGAACCGTTTAACTAAGACATCATAGGGATAGCAACTTTTACTAGGTGTCATATGAGGGATAGTTGATAAGATCGATAGATTTTTTGCTATGCGTACCGACGCTTTCTATGTTAACTTTTTAGAAAAGGTAGATTCTAAAAGGGGCCCTTCCGTTTAGGTACGGTCGTGCACAAGCTGGATAGGGCCCATACCAGCATTATATAAATACATCAATAAACAATATTGCAGGAATTAAGTCAAGTCAGCATTTAATGCGTTGTCATTAAAGCTATTTGCTTTAACCGTCCCTCCTCTATAATAGCACTAATTGAATTGTCTATGAATTGCATCTTACTCAGTGATCTGCACCCCCGTATACAAAGGATAGCGCTCCTGAGCAGCGCGAAGCTTATCTTAGTTCTTATATAGTTTTTTTGTTTCTGAGTAGCTTTCATGCCTTTTTTCACTAAGTTTTTCAGCTATGCGCTGCATTGTCCGTGTAGCTGCTGGTAAGGCACCACCAGTGGGAGAACTACAATACTATGGGTTCCCGACCATGTAGACATCCTCGGCAATGAGCTAGCCGACCAGCACGCAAAAGAAGCAGCGGACGACAGAGTTGAAACACCCGAGCCCACCAGCCTGAGCGCAGCGCGCTCAATGATCAAACGCGCCATCAAAGACTCGCCACCAAACCACCACCGCATCTCTCGCACTTACGCAAACTACTCGGAAAAGAGAGAAAGATAATAGTGAAGACAAGAAAAGACGCAGTACTGCTAGCGCAAATCAGAAGTGGTCACTCCTGTCGTTTTAACGCCTACGCCAACTTGATGGACCCCACGAAAGATCCAATGTGCAATCTCTGCCAGGAGGCACCCCAAACAGTCGAGCACTGACTACAATGACTTTATATCCCAGCATTCTCTTGCGGCAACTGTTAGAAATATATTTTTTGCTTTTTCTCACTGTTGGCGAATCTTACTGTAGCTCTACTGACCTGGCTAGCTGACAACTCCGCTCATTGTGTCTCCATCGTGGCAAGTTGACTGCCTGTTTCTTTGACCTTTTCTGACATTTTCAGCTATCTGAATGTCAGAGAAACTTTCTACAGTCTCTGGTGTTTGATGACCAGTCGTCAGGTTGGTGAAATTCCACCAATTTGTATGTTTTTCTCTTTTCCTGTTCTTGAAGAAACGCGGGCATATGTCCAATCCTTATTCTCACTTCTACTGAATTGAACCAAATCATTTTTAACATTGTCCGATTTAATGGTTTAAAGCTTAATTGCTCGAATGGCATTCTATATAAATTCTTGTTGCGACTTTCACAGGACCCTCCCGAACGACACTTTACAATATATTCAATCTTTTGGGTAAATTGTGTCACTTGAAGAATATACGCGAGATTTTAGTGCTGGTTTGACTACCCGGTCCGATTCGCAACTAATGAAGCTCTCTCGCTAAATGCCTAGCATTTATTTTTGTGCTACTGATTTCGACAAAACCACTTCTTCAAACCCTGTAGGACCTGCATAAAGTAGGCTTGGGAGTCCTACATTTATTCCGAAATCCAATTGAGCCGGAGAAAAACCCTGGTATTTCTCGAGAGTTTTTTGGGATTCTGTCGACAACTACATGATTTCTTTCATTATCGCCGTTAGCGTTTGGTGAATTCGCAGCCGTAGAATTCTGTTTTATCTGTAAATAATCAGCTCTTTTTTGTCAATTCTTCGTTAAAAATTTCGCATTCTGTCTGTATGTAACATTAATATCGGTCCTGCCTGTGAAATCCAGCATTTCAGCAGCGCTTCAGCGATTGTTTTAGCTTGTTGTACGTGTGTAAACGTTGCCATAGTCAACCACGAGAACATGTCAGCTGCGTGAGAATTAAATTTATTGCCTTGTTAACAGTCGTAATATTTCAGATCCAAGGGTACTATCTCGTTAAAACTTGAGGCCCATTTTCTGTAAATTTTTCAGATGTGGATAGTTATTGAGCATTGATAAACGACTGTTAAGCTGATAAACGACTGTTAAGCTAAGATGTACTGAGAGTTCTTCATTCATTGTGGCTTCGATATTAAAAATTGTTGCTTGCTCATTTTCTTCCAATATCCAGTTTTAATGACGAGTTTCCCAATAATAGCGATAATTTCTCGTCAATTACTTCAGTTTTAATAGCAATTTTCTTCCTGCGTGAACACATGAAAAGCGAACAATATTATTAGAAGCACGTCTTTCTCCACCAGCGAACTTGTATATTCTATTTGATGGTGATACAATAACTCGATTTCGCTGTTCTGTTGGTAAACCAGCAATCAGCCACTGTAGCCAGTTAACTCCGGTTAGCACGTCTTTCTCCACCAGCGAACTTGTATATTCTATTTCATGGTGATACAATAACTCGATTTCGCTGTTCTGTTTTGTAAACCAGCAATCAGCCGCTTCAGCCAGTTAACTCCGGTTAGCACGTCTTTCTCCACCAGCGAACTTGTATATTCTATTTCATGGTGATACAATAACTCGATTTCGCTGTTCTGTTGGTAAACCAGCAATCAGCCGCTTCAGCCAGTTAACTCCGGTTAGCACGTCTTTCTCCACCAGCGAACTTGTATATTCTATTTGATGCTGATACAATAACTCGATTTCGCTGTTCTGTTGGTAAACCAGCAATCAGCCGCTTCAGCCAGTTAACTCCGGTTAGCACGTCTTTCTCCACCAGCGAACTTGTATATTCTATTTCATGGTGATACAATAACTCGATTTCGCTGTTCTGTTGGTAAACCAGCAATCAGCCGCTTCAGCCAGTTAACCCCGGTTAGCATGTCTTTCTCCACCAGCGAACTTGTATAATCTATTTGATGCTGATACAAAACTCGATTTCGCTGTTCTGTTGGTAAACCAGCAATCAGCCGCTTCGGCCAGTTAACTCCGGTTAGCACGTCTTTCTCCACCAGCGAACTTGTATATTCTATTTGATGCTGATACAATAACTCGATTTCGCTGTTCTGTTAGTAAACCAGCAATCAGCCGCTTCAGCCAGTTAACTCCGGTTAGCACGTCTTTCTCCACCAGCGAACTTGTATATTCTATTTCATGGTGATACAATAACTCGATTTCGCTGTTCTGTTGGTAAACCAGCAATCAGCCGCTGTAGCCAGTTAACTCCGGTTAGCACGTCTTTCTCCACCAGCGAACTTGTATATTCTAGTTCATGGTGATACAATAACTCGATTTCGCTGTTCTGTTGGTAAACCAGCAATCAGCCGCTTCAGCCAGTTAACTCCGGTTAGCACGTCTTTCTCCACCAGCGAACTTGTATATTCTATTTGATGCTAATACAATAACTCGATTTCGCTGTTCTGTTAGTAAACCAGCAATCAGCCGCTTCAGCCAGTTAACTCCGGTTAGCACGTCTTTCTCCACCAGCGAACTTGTATATTCTATTTCATGGTGATACAATAACTCGATTTCGCTGTTCTGTTGGTAAACCAGCAATCAGCCGCTGTAGCCAGTTAACTCCGGTTAGCACGTCTTTCTCCACCAGCGAACTTGTATATTCTATTTCATGGTGATACAATAACTCGATTTCGCTGTTCTGTTTTGTAAACCAGCAATCAGCCGCTTCAGCCAGTTAACTCCGGTTAGCACGTCTTTCTCCACCAGCGAACTTGTATATTCTATTTCATGGTGATACAATAACTCGATTTCGCTGTTCTGTTGGTAAACCAGCAATCAGCCACTGTAGCCAGTTAACTCCGGTTAGCACGTCTTTCTCCACCAGCGAACTTGTATATTCTATTTCATGGTGATACAATAACTCGATTTCGCTGTTCTGTTTTGTAAACCAGCAATCAGCCGCTTCAGCCAGTTAACTCCGGTTAGCACGTCTTTCTCCACCAGCGAACTTGTATATTCTATTTCATGGTGATACAATAACTCGATTTCGCTGTTCTGTTGGTAAACCAGCAATCAGCCGCTTCAGCCAGTTAACTCCGGTTAGCACGTCTTTCTCCACCAGCGAACTTGTATATTCTATTTGATGCTGATACAATAACTCGATTTCGCTGTTCTGTTGGTAAACCAGCAATCAGCCGCTTCAGCCAGTTAACTCCGGTTAGCACGTCTTTCTCCACCAGCGAACTTGTATATTCTATTTCATGGTGATACAATAACTCGATTTCGCTGTTCTGTTGGTAAACCAGCAATCAGCCGCTTCAGCCAGTTAACCCCGGTTAGCATGTCTTTCTCCACCAGCGAACTTGTATATTCTATTTGATGCTGATACAAAACTCGATTTCGCTGTTCTGTTGGTAAACCAGCAATCAGCCGCTTCGGCCAGTTAACTCCGGTTAGCACGTCTTTCTCCACCAGCGAACTTGTATATTCTATTTGATGCTGATACAATAACTCGATTTCGCTGTTCTGTTAGTAAACCAGCAATCAGCCGCTTCAGCCAGTTAACTCCGGTTAGCACGTCTTTCTCCACCAGCGAACTTGTATATTCTATTTCATGGTGATACAATAACTCGATTTCGCTGTTCTGTTGGTAAACCAGCAATCAGCCGCTGTAGCCAGTTAACTCCGGTTAGCACGTCTTTCTCCACCAGCGAACTTGTATATTCTAGTTCATGGTGATACAATAACTCGATTTCGCTGTTCTGTTGGTAAACCAGCAATCAGCCGCTTCAGCCAGTTAACTCCGGTTAGCACGTCTTTCTCCACCAGCGAACTTGTATATTCTATTTGATGCTGATACAATAACTCGATTTCGCTGTTCTGTTAGTAAACCAGCAATCA